GGCATTAGAATTAGGAGACACAACACGTAATCTACAAAGAAGAATTGAAGAACTTAGATCTAGAATTCTATTAATACAAAATATTTTAGAAGTTAGGGTTAGTTCTGATATAAGGTTCTTTATTACGGAAGTTTTTGTAGGTCTTGCTTTTACGCAGATTATATTTTTTAGGTTTATTGTGCTTATAATTGTAATTTTTCTAAGGTATACACCCATACTGGGGTGGAAAATCTATTTGTCTACATGTATAATAAAATTATTTTTTGATTTGTTTAGACTATTTACGTTGTCAACATTCTGCTTTTAACATGTTGTACACATGATTAACTCTATCTCTTATGGTTAGCGTATCACGTCTAGGATTTTCTAACCATTTTTCCCATATTTTAGTTCCTACGCTTCCGGGTAACTTCTGAAGATATCTATCGAGTAATGTCTTATCACCGATTTTACCAATGGCTGCAAAATACTCAAAAAACTTATTGGTGTAGTTTTTTATGTATCTAAAATCACAAATCTGTAATAATTCTAGATTACGTAAAGCTTCGTTTTGTTTTATTAAGGTGTCATCTAATAATATATCTTCACCAACTAATACTTTTTTAATGAGGCTGGTAAAGTCTTAAATGGTAAAATTATCACGTAAGATGGCATAATCATTGGGATAAATTACTTTATAAGCCTGCCACCAGTCATGAATGATTCCTCTTAATAAGGTTTCACAATAGGTTAAAGCTTGAGTTCTATTGTCAAAATTGGTCAAAATAGATTGCCGAATACAATCTTGTTCCCAATTTTTGATTACTTTTGCCCAATCTTAGGGATCGTGCCTTGCTATGTCTAATATTGTTCCTGATTGTTGCGCTGGTATATTATCATATTGTCTACGATATTGTGTTATTGTGTACATATCTGGTATATTTCTATTTTCTACATAAGTTTCTCGTGAGGGGTTTAATCTTTATCCAGTAGTATAGTCATCGCTTAGGGTATTACTACCTGAGGTGTTAGTTTTTCTTTGGTCACTCATTTCTTGGTCGATTGACTGAGAGTTTGATCCTTCAGGTGCTTTCCCTTCTCTATGCTCTATTACATTTAACTCTTCTTTTACTGTGTTTAACTCTAATGCTGTATAGAAAGATTCAAATCCTAAACTTAGAATATTTTTCTTAATATCATCATTATTTCCTTGCCCTAAGTAAATACTTTCTATAAGTTTGTATTTAGGTTCTAGATACTTGTCTTGCAATACTTCTAACTCTAAATTATTAAAATCGTACATTATTTTATCTAGAATTTCATCTTCTAATCTATCATAAAGGACATTTATTTCTTCAGGAGATTCTATCTTTATCAGTGTAGTTAAGAAGTCTTCTTAAGTATCATCAACTAAATTGTTTTGTCTTTTATAATTACTAAACCTTATGCTAGCTTCTCCGCTATTTGAAACATATATCATATTATTTTCTGAAATCTTTTTAGGGATAGTAGTGAGTTTATGTAGTTTCCATTCTGTTCCTTCATGGGTAATGCTACTTACTTTTCTAGCTTCTATCATTTGGACATATTTGCTACTAAAAGGTTTAACTATTTCACTAAATTGGGCTTTAAATTTTAAGTTATACTGATTAACTGCCTTTCCCATAAATAAAATATTAACTAATAGATTTTCAAATTGTCCTGTCATATTATATCCTTTTGTAGATATAGCTATCTTAATATGTTTACTAAATTCTCTAGTAGTCATCGTGTAATTGGGAATACATCCTACTATTGCGGCATTGTCGGCTAAGTCTATTTCGACGCTGGCTATTTGTGCTTGTTGTTGGTTATTCCATCGGTCATCATTCCACTAGCATGGCGACAAATTTGTTCTTCATCTCGAGAAGATTCTTTTGTTGGTTTTTGAAGAAGTAACCCTACCCATCCTTGAGCTGATGTATCTGTTTGAATAATTTTATAACTTTTTTTAAGTGGGAGTTGTAAAGGTTCAAACTAAAAGACTAAAGATTTAATTTTCTTAACTAACTCTATGTCTTGGGTATTGAAATATTTTTGATCATGTTTTCCTAATTTTGAATATAAAGGTCCTACTAATTGTCCTAATTTTGGAATAAAATTGCGACCATAGTTTAATAATCCTAAAAATACTTATAACAACTTGGTTTCTTCTAATTTATCAGGAAAGTCTAAAATCTTTTTGACAATATGAGACTGTAATTTTATTTTTCCATCTTTTATGTACAAACCTAAGAATTCAATATCTTGTTTTTCTAATATCATCTTTTTACTACTTATAATGAGTCCTTGTGTTATAAACTCGTTGAATATAAGTTCAAGATATTTTTTATGCTCTTTTTTAGTTTGACTGAAGACTAAGATATCGTCGATGTAAACACAACGGAATTTTGAGTGTTTATTAAATATAGTATCCATTTTACGCTGAAATTCTTGTGGCGCATTTTTTTTAATCCAAAAGGCATAACAAACCACTCATAATGTCCTTCAGGGCATGTGAACGCTGTCCATTCAATTGATTCATCAGCCATACGAATTTGCCAAAATCCTGATTTACAGTTAAATTTATAAAACCATTTTCTATCTTGGATTCGATTTATTAAAATATCTTTATTAGGTATTTTATAACTATCATCATAAGTATTATTATTTAAGAGTTTATAATTTATAACCATATGAGCCTTTCCTCTTTTTATTTCGGCATGATTTCAAACCATAAAAGTTGGACTCCTATGTCTACTATTACCTTTTCGTATTACTTTTAGTAATAACAGTTCTTTAATTTGTTTTTAGAATTCTTCTTGATTATCTAGAGTATGAGGATTATCTTGTGTCTTTATAGTTATAAAAGGATTTATTATATTTAATTTTGCTTCAATTTTATTTTTATACCAGTGTTTCTGAGGATCTTTGCCTAGAATTTCTGTGGTTTCAGCTAGTCTTATAAGATTATCAATATTTAGTTTAGGGTTTTTTAATATAGCTTTATTATTAAGGAAAATCTTTGGTTCATCTAGATGACTAAGAAACATTAAGGCTTCAGAAACGTCTTCTAAAAATTCGGATACATCAAATAAATTTTTCGTAGTTTCTTCTGTCATAGGTAAAGTATTAACATATGTAATGGCTCATTTTTCTTTTTGAGGAATATAAGGATTTCTAGATGGAATAAATGTTCCTTTCTTAAAAAACTGTAAACCTATAGGGATATACATAAATCCTCCGGTAAGTGAGTTTATAAAATTTAATCCTAAGATAAAATCATAGGTGTTAGGAATATTATTAACTACATAAGTCTGGGGTAAAACAAACTTTTACTTTATTCAAGGATCTTTTAGCAAGTATATTCCAAAATTTAAGGTCAATATAAAATAAAAATATTGTTAGGGTCTCTTAGAATATTATAAGTTGTTGTGTGGTTTAAAGTAAAAAGTAAAGTCCATTTTAGGGAAATATTGCATTGGTCAAACCAATAATTGAAACTCTAAGACCTTGTTTCCATTTTAAAGTAACATTTGGGCCTTAAGCCCATGTATTTATAAAAATCCCTATATAATATATATACTAATATATAGAGATATGTAGTAATAAAATATTTACACTAGCGGCTACTAAGTCGGGATATCAAAGGAAAGGACCAGTAAGGCCATCTGCATTAGCCTCTTCGGATTTTGGCTCTCTAAAAACCCCACATCAGCTTTTCCAAAAGTCACGTCAGCAATTCCAAAAGCCACGTCAACAATTTTCGCTCTCCAAAAACATGTATTCCATCAGGCTCTTCAAATTTTCGCTCTCAAAAAAAAAATAATAATAATAAATTAAAATTAATTTTTTAAATTTTTTTTTTTTAACGACTATATTTTTAACGGCTATATTTGTAATGGCTATATCTGAAAATCTTCATTATATTCATCTCTCTCCATTGTAGCAAAACTCATTTGAGGAATGATTTGATGGAAAATTTATGGAACCGCTATGCTGGTGAAAATGTTTAATTTATGTTGCATTTTGTTTACTTTTGAGATATTATGACATTTCGTGTACTAGAATTTTTATTATGTAATGATTTTTTAAGATTAAAAATAATAAATTGGAATAAGAAAATAAGTATTACAAAATCCTATGAGAATAAGTAGATCAATTTGTAATTTTAATTATTTTTTTTACAAAAAGTTTTTTAAAAAAGCTTTTTTATTTATTTTTTGCCCGAATAAATAAGGATTACCAAATAAGGATTAAAAATAATGAATTGGAATAAGAAGATAAGGATTACAAAATTTTATGGGAATAAGTAGATGAATTTGTAATTTTAATTATTTTTTTCACAAAAGTTAAAAAAAAATTATATATATATTTTTAAAAATTATAGCCGTTAAGGCACTATTTGTGTCGGCCAAACAGTGCCTTAACAGCTAAATGCATTATTTGTGATACATATTTAAAATTTAAAGCAAAAAAATAAAAAATAAAAACAAATTTTAAAGGAAAAAAAAAAGCTTTTTTAATTTATTTTTGGCCCAAATAATTTATTTTTGGATAAACAGTGCCTAAAAAATATATTTTTTATTTAATGAATTTTATTTTAATTTTTTTTTTTTTTTTTCTAAAAGGAACTCAAAAATAACCTATTTTTAGCTTTTTTTTTTTTTTTTTTTAATAATAATTCTGCCAACAGTGCCTTAACTGTTGTACCACATAGGATAAGACAAAATAGGCAGCCGAAGCAAAAATAATAATAATAATAATAAGTAAATAAAAGGGACAGTGATTCCGGGTGTGAGCAAAAATGGGGCCCACCATTTTAGCTAGGGCGCACAGCGCCCAACAGGCCCTGGCTCGCGGAAATAGATGGCCTACGGACCGTCCCTTTGGCCTGAACTGCGCTTTTGGACCAATTGGCCTTTTATTTGTACAGGTGTTGTGCTGCGATTTGTGGGGATTTTCCCGACAATTGATACACAGTTAATTATCATTTTCTTTCGGTGACACTAAAAAATTACACCGCCTCTCTTTTCTTTTATTTTCATTTTTCCTTCTTGCGGTGTCTCCTGTTGCTCATCTGTGTAAAAACACAACGGAGTTTCGAGAGAGAGAGAGAGATGGGGGGCGGGAGTGTAACAGGGAGAGCCGTAGAAGCACTGACCGCATACAGAGTGCTGCTGAGAGCGACTCGGAGGACGTTCGCCGGCGACTCGCTGATGCTGACCCAGTCGGCGGCGGAGGTAAGGAAGAAGTTTGAAGAGAACCGTGGCGTGACCTCCGAGACGGAGATTCAGAGACTCCTCGAGGAGGCTCGCGAGGCCTCCCATTTCATATCCAACATGATCGTTCAGGCCAAGCTCAACTCTCGTGGTGGTTACGGTAATTATTGACAATCTTATGTAACTCTTTGTTTAATTTTATGATCATTTGTAATTATGCACACCATCTGTTTGTTAAATTGTCCTTGTTTTAGGTTCTTTCATGCATTTTCATGTTTTTATAAAAAAATGCAATGATATATATTGTACAAGATAAATAGTAGTAGTTATTAACATTGATGTCCTGGGGCTTATATCGCCACAAGGAAATGCTTGGTGTTAAAGGATATATACATGGTGTGGAGTGTTGTTTGTATAGCCAAAAGTTGGATTTTCAAGGGAAACAGTCAGGGAAAGATGTGTGAAGATTTTTTGTTGGAAACTTTATGGAATGACAGGAAGAACATGTTTACATCCAACCAACTCTTGAAATGAACAAGATATTCACATTTGGGTTGCTGTTATTCACATGAATAGTATGTTATATGAATGGTTTACTTGTGAACCAAGAACAAGATAAGTTGATGCAATGGCACATTCTAGTAATTTAAGGGGTGATTGTCTGGTGCAGTGGTAAAATACTCGATCTGTCAAGCCATCACTCAAGCTTCAGAACTCGACTTCAAATCCTGAGAGTAATCAACTTGCGCAAAATTGTAAAAAATGCCAATATTAGGTCTATACTCAATTTATGGGGACCATACTAGGTAATCACCCTTTGACACATTGTGATTAGAATTTCGGGGGTGACATCGGCCGGTGGTTATTATGGTTCCTTTCCTTTAGGGTTTTTCTAGTTATATTCTTGAATGTTAAAATTTAACAGTTTTGGGGCTAAATTGTGAATCGCAATAGATTAGTTTTGATGATATTATAAGTAAATCCCATTATAGGAATTTGTTGTTTAACGGATGAACTTCTAATTTTGAATGATCTCTCTCTCCCTCTCTCGCAAAAGATTGGACATTTCTATTCCATTGATGAGGATGACTAAATGTTTATGTGTAATTATGAAAATAAAGGAGCCATCAAGATAGATTATAAAAAAAATCATTAAGGATGTAGGCCAGTGATTAGCATAAGGAAACATTGAATTCATTGTGGAAGGAAGCTATCAAGACATTATACATATGAGAAATTTTTCGTCATCTTAGAATTTGTGGCTAATTGACTGTCAAGGACTGTTGGTGGTGTTGCCACAAACTTTGTAATTTGTACACCAATGCCATAGTAAATTGCCTAGAAAGAGTCCTTGTTGGTGTTGGTTATTACTAAGTCTGTTTGTTTGAATGGTGTAATTTTTATCAATTACAAGTTGTGGTCTTTATATGTCAAGTCATTTTATAATGGAAAATAGGGTGCTAACTTGTACTATTTGTGACTTGAATTGAAGTTCTTTTCAAAAAAATTGTGTAGAGAGAGAGAGAGAGTTATTGATTAATCTTATTCGAGATGAGAGAAAAACTCAAATTAGAGAAGAATATGGTCCTTTGGTTCCCTTTATTGCAACTATGTTTCTGTTTCTTTTTGTTTCTAATTGCTCGGGGCTATTTTACCTTGGAAAAGAAGAAATTTTTTTTGGAAAAAAGAGGAGGTTGATTTTTTTTTTTCCTAAATAAAGAGGATGTTGGTTCTCGTCAAAGTAAACCAAAACTAGGAAATATGTTATTCTCCAAGTGAACTTGATTTCTTATATTTTTAACTTATCAAAGAAAGTTATGGATCACTTGGTTTAAAGTGCTGTGGTTAGCTTGAACATTTTTTTTTCTCGCCTTCTTACCTTACAAATCATTGAAAAGTCATATCTACTTTTCTTGAAGTTGTGTGTTTAACTTTCTCTACAGGTGGTATTTCTGCATGAAGTCTTCTTTGATTTTGCTTATGTACTTCAGATAAATACTTCATTTCTTAAAAACTTGGAGCAAATGAAACAAATTCGTTGGTTTCAATTCACCTTTTCCAAATTTTTTAAAATTTTAGAATCTCCAACCTTTAGGTCATGACTAGACCTCTGATTGTGTTGAGCTCCATACATGACCAACTATGATTTGCACAATCAGATCATTTATTTCTTTTGGTTGTTATTTTAGGACTAGTGCCACTGCTACATGTAGAGACCTAATTTGCAATGGTCATCATGCTGTGTGGGACTTTAAGCCATGTTAATGGCCTGCTGTTGTCATATGTCTGTGCTGCGCCAAATTTCCTTGAATGGATTTGAATGATTGCTCGGCATACTTTTTCAATAATCATCTTTTATGTACCCATGTTTAAATGCTATGGCTTTTGATATGTGGTACTCTGTAAAATTATATTTCAATTAGTGCAAGTTCTCCAAATTTTTCGGGTGATTATATGCATTGCTAAATATGATGGAATTTCACATGCTAAATGCTGGTTGCTGCAGAAGTGAAGCCGGGTCAAGAGCATGTAGGAGCAACACTTGAGGTTCCTTCCGAAGAGATCATTAGAGAGTCTGGGTAAAGGGGAGGAAGTATGGATGGTAATGCAAGAGGTGCTAGGCCATGGGGGTTGCTTGTTTTGTGATGGATGGACCGTCAATCCTGGTGATGTTCCAACTTCTGCAGATTTTTCCTTTGAAATCTATCCTTTGTCTTTCATCTAATTCACAGTTTTTCTAATTGTTGAGAAAATTTACGTGGCGATAATGATTGTTGTCATAATATGTTCTATTGCAAATCAAGAATTAGCTTTAAGGGTTTATGCCATTTTCTCTTTAATAATATTGCTCATATATTTCAAAAATGGAAACAGTTTGCTATTTGCCTTGCAGCTAAGAAAATGTAACCTTAGTCTCATCTATCTAATCAAATGACATTAATCATTTTGTAAGTTTTAATGGAATGAATTGGTTTCTACTGTACTCAAATTGTATCAACTTCTAATTATAGTGCACAAGGATTATCTATTATTTAGTGTTACCCCTAAGTCATATACTCATGCTATTCAATCAGTAGTAAAATATGTAAGAATGTGTCTAATTTTATACCATTTATTCTGAAAATTTAATGTCATTCAATCAGTACTGGAATTCAAAAAGGTCCTGCTATATGTTGGATCTTACTTATGTGGGTGAAACGATTGGCAATAAGATTTGTAAGAACAAATTAGGTGATGTATATTTCAATCGCGGTTATTTTTACATCTAGGAGCAGAGGAATATAGAACTTTTCCCGAAGAAAGTATGTTTTTAACTAGATTTGCTTTGTCGATGAAGGTTATTATCCCCTTTAATCAGTTCAAATCCGTATTCGTAAATTTTACAATGTTTGTCTACGTTTGTTAAAGTTATGTTTGGGAGTATTAAATCAATAATTTGAAATTTAAATTAAAAGAAATCTAGTTCAATTTTATAACACCGGAAAGAAAGTGTAGTATTTTGGTGTTTGAACCTACCTCAGAATACAGATTAACCTTTGTGTGTTGGGTGGTTGGAATCAAACCATCATCATCGGTGGGTTGTTGAGTGCAACGCATCGGTGGTGGCCGCAGCTATTGAAATTGACAAAGGAAAAGGGCCAACTATTCTTCTGTCAAAAAATACGTGAGACTCATTGTTAATTGCAGAGGGCTTATTCCTACTACAATCATGGTTCGTCGTACGTGATTAGTATCGGTCAGTTTACACTAACTTTGTCTTAGTCCATTACACTGTCACCGCAACCGATATCGCGACCGTGACCGATATCGCGACCGTGACCGATACTATGAACCATGACTACAATGAAAGGATAAGATGATTTTAGAGAGAGTGCAATAAAGAGACAATTCTTGAACTGAAATCCAATGGAATTGGAGTTACTGTTATAGATAGGAAATTTCAAAGCCTCCAGTGCTGGTCTTCATCAACGCGATTGTCTAAATCAAAGCCTACATTAGTATTGTTCTTCATGGAATCAACGCCAATCACAGCCTATGATAGTGTTGGTCTTCATTCTTCAAGTTTAATTTTATGTTGCTCATACATATAATCTAAATATATTTCAATTTCAATTTTTTAATGCATCGATTTAATACTTTCAAACGCTACATTTTAAAACTTTTCTTGAAGAAGTATGTGATGAATAGATTTGCTGGTCTATAAAGGCTAATGTCCTATGGGTTCAATTAATTCAAATCCTTATTTTGAATTTTTACCAAATTTTCTCACCTCTTGTTTAGTGTTACGCAATTAAAATTGTTCATTTGAGCTTAAGTTGGAATTATATAATTTTTTATTTTTTAGTTTGGTAAGTATCAATCTATTGTATCTTTAACAGGAAGAATTCGGAGCTGTTCCAATATTTGTATTTAGTGAGTTGGTTGATAAACAAAAGATTATATCACACCCTGTCTACACCGAGAAATTATTGAATAGCCCGGGGTACATACCCGGGGCATACCAATCCTTGGATGTGGTGGTGGGCCCCACCACATTCATAATCCAATGGCCCTCACTACCCCGGTACCATACCCCCGGGTATTCAATAACTGCTTGTCTACACCACCCTCCATTCGCATAGCAGTTTGTATAAATTTTAATATCCTCCAATTTTTCAAAATTTTAAATATACAAATATATGTGCTGGTAAATAAAACAGAAATAAAAATTATATAGGTAGATAAAATAAAAAAATGTAAATAAAACAGAAATAAAAATTGTATAGGTAGATAAAATAAAAAAATGTAGATATGATAAGAATATTATTAATGTGAATACATAAAACTCTCATTGAGATCCCTCAAATGCAGAAGCAGAAGTATAATGAATTACAGAAGTGCTTAAAACTATATTTTGGTTGACAATGTATGTGTTACGTTCAGTTCATTTCATTTGATCTGCTTTTGTTTTCATATTTATTGTGTGTTTAAATCTGTAGTATACGGAAAAGATGTGACTTTCAAAGATATATGCACTTCTAAGCACAAGTTTATAATGTGAAAAGTTGGCTGGCCCTAGGGATGGCAATTTGGCCCGCCAAGCGGTTACTTGCCTCATCCCGTCCCATTTTTGACAATTTTAGGAGACCGTTTTGTTTATTTAGGCGGGAATAGTTTGATATAATAAAAACCCGCGCGGGTTTGATACGGGGGCGGGGGGAGGTCGCCCTGCCCTGTTTAGATAACAAATTACTTAAGTACTTTTATTTCATTAATATATATATTTCCCATTATATATTAAGTACCCTATATAACAATATTAAAATAACAAATAAATTTCATTAAAAAGAAAGTTGCAATGGTGAAGAATTAAAGATGAGGATATAAAAATCGAACAAATCTATTTTAACAATAAATAAATTGTGGTCTTAAACGGGGCGGGGCGGGTACTCGCGAGAATAAAAATGTTAAACGGTTACGGGGATGGGGTGAAAAGTTCCTCCATTTTTGCGATTTTGGGTGGGGACGGGGGTGAGATTTTTAAACAGTTGTGGGGGCGGGGAGGGTACATTCGCCTAAACCCACCCCCGTTGCCATCCCTAGTTGGCCCACTTCGATAACATATTTGCCTAACTAGCTCATGTATTTAGTAATTTGGAAAACTATATATATATATATATATATATAAACATAAATATATACACGGTCTAAAAAATTTCTTAGTAACAACAAAACTTTTCTAAAGAGTGAGCTGCACTTGGGAGTGGTAAAATGGGTCATGACCCACCAATCCGTTCTTATCTACCATTTTAAAATAAATATAAGTGAACTATTTTAAAATATGAGTCAAAATGGGTTACTCATAGTTAATCCATTTATAAAGGGTTAAATAGATTAAATATGGATCACTCATTTTGACCCATATTTCACTCATATTATATAAGAGACCTAGTTTCAAAACCTTTATTTGACTCAAATTTACCTCTTCTTTTTTAAAATTCTCTCACACTATCCCAAAGTCTCTCTCTCTCTCACACACTCTCTCTAAGATTCTCTTTGCATGATGGACTTCTCGTATATATAATACTACGGCTCGAAAAAAAAACTATGTTTACATTTGTATTTAAAAGTAGGACGACCTGATTTATTCATTTAATTATTTTTTCTAGAATATTTCATATAATATATATATATACATAATATTTTACTTTCATGCATGTCTAGTCACAAAATAAAATAACATAAATTTAAAGAATTTTCAAAATAAATTAAGAGGATTTACAATTATCTATATATATTTCAAAGTATAATTATCAAAATACAATTATCAAAATACAATTATTCATCTAAAAAAAAAGGACTATAATAATGAAATTATTCAAAATTATTTTTTTTTTTCTTTCTAAAATAGGTTGGTGGGTCATCCCAACCCATTTTTACCCAATTCATATTTAATCCGTTACAGGTGAATTAAATATGAGTCATAACTCATATTCAATCCGTCCATATTTAATCTTGTCCAAATTTGACCCGTTAATTTACCACCCTTAATTTGTGAGCAAACTTTGAAATCCAACTCTCAAAAAGAGCCCTCCATTGATTTTCAAAGTCTTATCTAATTTCGGAAGGTAGACTTGTCAAAGTATTTTTATAATCAATAGTCAGTCAGTCATTCAGTCCTCTTTATTACTGAAATTCAAGTACATTACTCAAATGGGTTTTGGGTTGAAATATATGAGCCGGACTTAACTAGAATGAAGCTTGGGTTGAGGTATCAACAAGTCGAATTTAACTTGAATTGAAATTTTAATTTTTTTTATTTTATGTATACATATAAATATAGTAATTTGAAATATTATAGATATATATATAAAATTATTATCACCTTTTTCTTTTCAAATTTCTTTTTGCTTAAATCCTAATTTATTGTATATTAGGATTTTGGAGAATTATTTTTCTAATAATTTTTTAAATTCAATTAAAGTTTATAGAATTTGCTATCTTAGGCATAATCTAATTTGAAACTAACTGGAGATCGCATGATTCTCTAACTTGAGCTTAACCAGAAAATAAAATTTTGAATGTGAACTTCTCTATGTATAGTTTAAGGTCATTTATTTGCAAATACCGGACTGTGGTGATAAATGATAGGGCTCGGACTAGCTCTTCCTAAATCGGGTCCAGTTCAATCTGAACTTGGGTAGCATTGCACATAATGCGGGTTGACCCTTCAACCCACCCAACTCGCTCGAGTTGTACCTCCATATATGGTTAAAAATGTAAAGGGTGTTCTATGGAATTACGTATCCAATTTGTTGTCTGCAGCCTTGGATTCGTGGACAGGTTCAACCCAACTGCTTCAAAGTTGGAACATCCTAGGGATCTATAGAATTTTAGTCCATCCAACTTCCCTCCAAGTACACGTGCCTATCAACTTTTAGTAGAATCTAGAAAGGCAAGCTAACGTATTTTCAGCAACCAAAAAGCAGGCATACCTGTTTTTTTGCATTCTCCTTCTTCTTTTCTATTTTTACGTGTCTAATTGTTGTTGGCCAGGATGCTCTTGAGACCATCTAAAAGTTTTTCCAAGAACTATCATGAGTCTCGGGACTCGTTTTATCGGCCATTTGTTAGGTTGAGTAGTTTCGGCTACTCAATTATTTTTTCTATAAAAATGATCATAAAACAGTATGGGTAATGATATTTAGGCTTATTTATCTGACACAATAGTTAGTTACTACCAAATAATTTCTCCATCACAGGTTTTAAAATTTGTCGTACCTAATGCATCTGAATGTTTGACTTAGTATTACCATCAGATATCTGAAAGCGAATC